CATTAAATATATTCATGTTTTTCCTATGATTACACTCTTCGTTTATTATTATTGTTATTGCAATCAAAAAGACTTGCAACCTGGTGTAGACATTTTTATTGTGGTCCTTAATTTCAGAATAAAATAAGATTATCGCTTATACCTGTATATAAATTAAGATAATATTCAGAAAATTTTAAGATTCTTTGTAGGTACTAAAAATACACGTGATGTTGAGGTGGGAGGGTGGGTGGTCTTAAACCTCTCTACGTATCACCAATGGGGGAGGGGGGTTAAAAATGCTAAAAAAAGATCACGTGATTAATGGACAACCCCTAGATAATGTCTCATCATCGAGTATTCTGGTTTTGAAATTTAACGTACAGCTCGTGGGTAGGGTGGGAGGTGGGGTATCGGAAATCCGAACCGTAAGACCATGTATATAAAGTATAAATTAGCGTCATTTCCGATTCAGAAAGCATCAGTTCGTTTAGGCAGATGATGAAAAATCCACAACATTTGTTCATGCAAAAGTAGTCTCTAAAAATCAGAGATAAGGTATATAATAATGGAGTTAGTGGAGAGCGGTCACCGGTGATCGCTTGATCACTGGGCAGGTAGAAGTCTACTAACATCTTCTTCTTTTTGGCCCCAGGTGAAGAGGATTTAACCATAATTGTTAAGTTTCCAAAGAATACCGTTATATATTTATTGAGACGTTTTTTTAATTTGTTGATCCACTGCTGTAATAGTCACTTATAACGTGAGTACGGACAATACAATAACTTGACGTCAGTCGTATCTTGTTTTCCATATTATTGAAGGTTTAAAAGAGTTGGTAGGTACTTATAGAGCTTATATTTCGTATAGTTACTTGTAATATGTTAGTTTATATTTCGCAATACAACGAAAGTTCGATAACCATTGTAATTATATAGGTGTTATGAGTTAACGTATTATGTTTGATGTGTGAAAGAAGATTGAACGAATGTGATGTCAATAGAGCCTAACTACATAGCTTATTTAGCACAATAGATTCCATGCCATAAACCTGTTTATCATAAATAGATAAAATTACGATATAAATTTAGCAATCATACCTTTTTTAATACCAATATAAAGTATCGGAATAATCATGAAATTTAATATTCATATGTACTTTTTATTCGCACTTACATTTATAAAATCTTGCATAATAATATTATAATAAAATAAATAAATAATTAAGTATAATTCTATCAAAAAATATAAAAATATAATCCACAAAAAAAATGAAAAGAAAAAAAATTATAGAAAACACAAAAAAATTTAGAATTGTACAATAGATTAAAAATAAAATCGTAAAATATACATATAGAGGTATATATAGGTAATTACTTAATTTTGGAAATGTAAATAATGCGCCAAATTGAGAGTGATATTAGGATTAAATACTATTATGCTTTAGAGTTTTATAACTCAAGCAATATAATATAAAATAATATATCTAATAATTATAATAATATCTATACATAATGTAATAAAAAAGCTTCAATAATTTAATTATTATTAATCAATCATTATAACCAGAATGCCTAATTAAATAAATAAATAAAATATATTTTTATAAAAAAAATAAAACTAAAAAAAAGGTACGACAGCTTTTATAGGTATATTATTAGTAGGTATCTGTAGTTCATTATAATATCTTTTACTTCGTCTTTAAGAAATAAATAATGTTACAATTTAATATTACCAATATAATATATATAATTATAATTGTATATAACTATAATCTAATAAAGCACAATGCTAAAAATGTATAGATAGGGTTTCCACCTATATATCACTTTCAACATCTTTTTCTTTAGAAAATTTTGGGCCATTATTTTATAGCAATTTGAACAACTTTGGACTCTCAACACAAACAAAAACCTGCTGTAAGCACGACCTGGGACTGTCTCGATTCTAGAACATATCAACAACAGCAGTTTGAAAATCTACCAATGCTCTTATACCGAACACATATCCTGTTGATAAGATTCTTAAAAATTCAAAATATTCCAGTACTTAGAGGTATATTTATGCCTGACCTGGACATCTAACATTAAATCCCTTGCTCGGCAGTATCATTTGTCATTACAATTTAGTTTACTTATGACACCATGGTTATGGACCTGTTCTTCATAAGAAGACGAATATCAAGAAAAAATAGTTTCTTTCAAGACATTTTAATCATGACAAATATATGAATATTTTGAATCAGCAACAGAGATTCTAAGTTCATGTAAATTTATCCGATACTGAAATAATCTTATAATATCTTATATACAAAATAAAAATCCGTTCGTTAATCTCGCTAAAACTCAAAAACAACTGAACCGAATTGCCTAATTTTGGTCTTGAATTGTTCGTCGAAGTCCATCCAGGAAAGGTTTAAAATAAATTTCCCGGGTTAGTTCGTAAATTATATTAATGTCATCATATAACAATTTAAAGCGATATAAAGGTGGAGATGTCTATTATTATTTTAAGCATTGCATAGTCTTAGTATGTATAATAAAAATGATTGGACAAAGTGACCCCACTAACTGTATCTGCGTAGCTGTAAATATTTAAAATATACTTAATATATACTTAAAATATAATTAAAATATATGTTTAATAATAATAATAACGTTGAATAATATAAATAATTAAAAATAATTACAATAATTACTTTAGTAATAATACCAAGCAAAGGATCGAATATCACGATGCCCTGAAAATAATACTCTACGTAAAACAATAACATTGAATATATTACGCATTGAAATGACCAAAAGAATTTGTGTTCTCGAATTTTAACTGTACAGCCAAGTACAAACATGAGTTATTTTTCAATACACCGTGAAGTCTATTTCGTTTTCATCCCGCAGCAAAACCACTGGCAAAAAGGAGTATGTAATGTCTCAAAAATTTTTCTAACTATTGGCATCGAACGTGCCACTCGACGAGAAATACCTTCTCGAGAATTACATGGCGTGATGTTTTGATAATGTACTAAGAGTTCGTATGCGTTTTCGACGTTTGCTTTCTGCAATGGTTCACCAGTCATTTTTAGTTTTAAACGTATTAACATTTTTTTTTGTAAAGTATTGGGTTACCAGAGAGCCAAGCACGAATAACTATCGCATTCGTATCGTAACAGTATCGAGCGAAGTAAGCGTCCTGATTGGTTGGTTCACTTGAGCCGGCCAATCAGAGCGCCGAACGCACTCGATACTATTACGTTACGATTGCGATAGTTATTCGTGCTTGGTACTCAGGACAGAAAAATTTTTCTTCGATGCGAAAACAAAATAGATGTCACGATGTATAGTTTCATAATGAATCGTCTATCTCTAATTCTCTATATTCCAAGTTTAACAAGTACATTGTACAAGTATTGGACACCAAGTTCTTTTACGGGTAAGTTTCAATTCATCAACATCATTAAATCGTAAATAATATTTTATCACTATCACTTTCATTCTAACTATGATAACAAATAATATGTCGAATATGCTCTCATAATTAAATATCTATAGCATAATAAAAAACTATGTAAATATATTACTAAAGAGAACCTTTGACAGGAATAAAGTAAATGTAATTAAAGTATGTATTAAATAATATTGTACATTATCTCAATATATGACATCGAATAGGTAAATAAGCTTTAATTAAATAAAGATTTGGCAATTTAGAAGATAATGATGGTGGCAGGACAACCTAACTAACATAGATTAAAACTATATATAAACTCACGCCTATGTTCCGTAGCGTCACCTATTACACCTTACGTCATATTGTAAGTTCATAACGTTCGTGCGCCCAGTAGAATCAATACGGTCAAGTGAGCATTCTGGGTTATCGCTCAGGGTGCATCCTAGAACAAGCAACAGTCTACCTTCTGGACTGATGCGTTTATCCGCTGATAAAATAACTGACGTAAATTTCGAGCAATATATTTAGTTACAGATATCAATATCAGCCGATAGACGCATTGCTGAAGAAATCTCTTCCTGAGGTAGAGACTAAAGCAGAAACATAATAATTAGGACAAAATTAACACAAAAAGCAACTGACTTCTCCCAAACTATTATCTCCTGAAGGCTGTTCACTCTATAAATCTCCCGATCGATTTTACACTACAAAAACTACACACAAAGCGGAACAGATCACGTAAAACGAAGAAATATAATAATTATAGAAAGACAATATAACAACCATTGCAAAGTGCGCGCATGCGGAACAAAGTGAGTAGCTATAATTATTTAGGTAGGATAAATAAAACAAGACTATGAACAATTTGTACGGCCATGACAATA